AGCTGAATACATGGAAAGATCTCAAATTTTTAAATACAATACTGATCGAATGTCAAGACGGCAGTACAATAAAAAAGGAAAAGACTCCAAGGACTGTGGCGACCAAGAAGCTCTACCTTGAATCCTCACGGCCGATAAGCTAACTCTTCCTGGGTCTGGTATCACCAATACCTCGATCTACATAAAAATGTGCAGTAGTGTAGCATGCGTACACCATCGTCGGTAACTAATAAGTACCAAGACTAACCTCAGTGGATTAGTGACGAAGTACAAGTCAAGACACCTACTAGTCAAAATAAAATGTGTGATATAAAAGTATAAAGCAAGAAATGAAAGCAGGAATCAGTAAATGGCAATAAGAATCAATATATGATATAAACAATAAAGTAATAAGAACACCGTGAAAGAACCATTGAAAACAAATAACAACCAATTAATCAAGTCGTTCTAACACAAGTTTTGCAACGAAATTACTCTAAGATACCTCATTTCATAATCACAAGTCATGAGTCTAAACCCATAGTCATATGCACATGGCACCTTGTGCCACATCCCTAATCACAACCGCACGGACAACTTACATGCCAATATCTCAATCCGCCTTGCATGATCATTGGCTCACAATTACAATTCGGTCAGCGTGGTCATAGACTCAGCATAACAATCCGCCCGACATGGTCACATGCTCAGTATCACAATCTGCCTGCATGGTAACATGCTTAATATCACAATCATCCCAGCATTATCACAGGCTCAATATCAACATGAAAGTAGATAATACAAGATTACATGGGCTTGATGAATGAACTTTAAGTTTCGTACTCACGAACTAATATAAGTTGCAAGCTACGATGTATGCTTGTGGGAGCATACTATTACAACCCAAGTCAACAAGTAATATCAAAGTCATGCAAGGTGTACGCCATACAGTCCAAGTCAACAAGTACTATTACAACCCAAGACATCGTTTAGCTCATTGAAAACAACACAACAAGTAACTAAGGTGTATGTCATACACAAGGGGAAATCATACTATCACACGAATATCATCAACATAATGCACTCCGGCCATCACACATCATCCTTGACATTTCCATCCTTATCTCTCTGATATTCACCCGTATCACTCTGCCCTCACAATATCATTAGCAACCTGTATCACTCCGATAGCCATTCGTATCACTCCATATAATAGACACCTTTATCGCTTCGCCCAGACTGGGACAATAACAGAATAGCCACTCGTATCACTCCGCAAAATCAACAACAATGAGATGCCACCCTTATGCCCCACATATCAATAACAATGAGATGCAACCCTTATGCTCTACATAACAACAACCAATCCAAACAACAATTCACATGTACTGACATCACAGCAACACGTCATATCTACTCGTACCATAAGTGCCCATAGGCCACAACTTTTCCAAAAGAACCAATAATATCAATATTTCCACAACAAATAGTCCACGACTCAAACACGATATGTATATAATTTCAATAACAACAAAATGAACGAAAATGTAACACAACAATGAACAACACCATGTTCAATCACAACTTCAATTAAAATAGATTAATAATTTTTAATAACTTCAGCTTCAATTAATTACTTAATGATAAACTCAATAATGAAGGTATTTCTATAAAATGACAAACTTCAGATTCTTGTGCATGAAATAGGCTAACAATGAAAGAGATGACACAAGCTAGCAACTACGTCTAATGCATGAAAATAACTGAGCAACTAAAAGATATCATGTAACACCAATTTCAATTAAAAATAACTCAACGTAAAGAAAGTTACATAATGATAAAAGAGGTAACAACTTCAAATAATGCATGTAAGAGTAAACTTGACATGTAAAGGATATGACATATGCAACAACTTCAAATAAAGAATATGGATGTAAACATGTCAAATAAAAGATATAGCATGTACTAACAATTTGTCACGACCCAATTTCTTCCTATGTCAATTGTCGTGACGGCACCTAATCTCTACGACTAGGTAAGCCTAACACATTGTGGAAATGAAACAAAAAGCATGAACATTAACTACTAACACTAATAATTATCTAATAAGCAACAAAATGCCATTCGTCATATATAGTTTTCACTTTAGAAATGTACCGAACAATACCCAAAACCCAAAAACTCACAAGTCACAAGCTACTAAGAAATTTTAACTGCTATATACATCATTTATACGGAAAGAGGGATAAATTAACATAGGGGGATAGAGGGGGACTCCGAGCATCTGCGGGCGCGGGCAGATGTACATTCAAGTCTCAAACAGGTAGTAATGACTGCAACTAGTGATGAGGCTGGTACGATGAACCTGGATCTGCACACAAAAAATATGTGAAAGAAAGGGCATGAGTACAACACACAGGTACCTAGTAAGTGCCAAGCCTAACCTCGGTTGAGTATTGACGAGATCAGGTTACGGCTCTACTAGTATAAATATAATGAAATAAGATAGAATGAAATATCATAATAAAAGTTAGTACGGAAATCTAACAGGAAAATAATCAATAAAAAATAGCTTAGTGGAAGAATCATATCTGTTTCGTTCACTTGCATTTGAGCGACCTTCAGAAATATAGCATTGAGAGCAGCTTCTTCTTGGTCGTTCATGGCCAAGCTGGCCGGCGACCAGCTTGCAACAATGGCTAGTCAGCCACCCTAAGCATCCTCCACCATCCCCAACAACATTACCTCAATACCCAAGCCCCTAGATTTTTCGAATATTCTGAAACCAGTTGTGATCAATGCAGCAGGGCAAGGATCAGCGACAAAACAGTCTCCTATTGCTCCTATACCACAGTGTCAAGTAGTCATATTACAAGGACAACTAATGGTTTTTTTTACTGAAGCAGAAGTTGATCGAATGAACATGATCGAAGGCTTACAACATGCAGTAGTTTGCAAATTCTCATATGGGTGGCCAGAAATTGCTGAATTAAGACGAATTGTGTTGCAACAATGTGGAATTAAAGGAGACTGTAAAATAGGCTACCTTTGCGACAGACATGTGTTAATACGATTGTTGTTATGGCAAGACTTTGTTGAATTTTCGTCGAAGGGTGTGTATTATGTTAAAGACAAATATGGACAAGAATACCAACTGAGAACTTTGATATATGACGCTAAATTCAAAGCAGGAGAGGAAACACCTAAGGTAATGTCGTGGATTTCGTTTCCAAATTTGTTACCAACCTACTTTGTTAAAGAATGCCTTTTTCTTTGGCTTCTGCTGTGGGAAAGCCACTTCACTTGGATTTGGCCATGATAAATAAGACAAGGCCAAGTTGTGCCAAAGTTAAGGTTTTACTTAATCTCCTAGATAATCTTCCTACGAAGGTGCGAATGGACATTCTCAATGAAACGTCAGGAACTGTTATAGCTGAATGGGTTACTGTTAGGTATGATTACTTACCAAAGTATTGCAAAGAGTGCAAGATACAAGGACATGACATGTTTGAATGTTGGAGAATTCACCCGGAATTAATGGAAAGCAAAAAAGACAAACAAAAGTATGCTAAAGAAGTTGTGGTTCAAAGTCAAAATGAAAATGAAATACACGACGCCCCAATGATGTTTCTTACTAGTGGAAAAGTCGTAGGTAATGTCAAGCATCAATGGAAGGAAGTTAGAAATAACAGAGGACAGAACAAGGGTAAACAAAGCTAGAATAATGGTGCAAACGACACTACTGAGAAGGAAATTGTTCTGGTCAATAATGAAGCAACACAACAGGTACAAACAATAAACAAATTTTCTCTGTTGGAGGTTGAAGAAGGTGCAGTTAACGAATTCAATCAATTAGATGTAGTGGAGCAGACACCTTGTCAAAATGATCTTGTATCTAAGGATAATGCTTTAACTGGAAATTTGAAACCAGCTACTCATGCTTGTAATCCAAACAATAATGCGACTGTAGCTTCTATCGCTGGTAACAGCTGTAATGCTACTGGAGGTGGAAAATGAATGAATCATACAGTCCAGTCATTTAATCTTGCAGTATTTAGAACAAAAGATGTTAGCAATGGGGAATCGACAGCCGCTTGGGTACAAAAAAATTTTCCTAATAGTGTGGTAGGTATAAACACCTCATGTCAAGAGATCCCATCACAAGACACAAGAGTAGATGTAGAGTTGGCACAAAATGCAGACAAAGTGAATAAAAATGATGCAATAACAAGGCAGGAAGAGGAGATAACCAGTGACAATGACCAAGTGGAAGATATTGATTTTGAACATTTTAAAAGCATTGATAAAATAAAGTGGAATGGAAATAAATTGTGGTCAAACCAACCTAAGGAAGATGCAGCAGAGGGAGAAATTCTAGATGGAATGGCAAGCGACAAGGAAACAGGAGGGGAAACAAACAACGAAGAGGATCAAAGTGTAAACGCAAAAAACAAAGAGACACAAAATGCTGAAATCCAGATTTCTCCAAGTGCAGAATTAATCCCTGATAAAGCAGGATTGTGTAATGATGAGGACCCTGGTGGAACAATAGCAGGTACCAACAAGTCTGAGCAGAATAAATCAAAACAAGAGAGTGCAGAAGATAGTACTGCTAAAACAAAAAACACTGCTAAGGATCCAGGTAAGCAAGAAACAACTATGAAGGTTGTTGTGCAAAATGCAGAAAAGGATACTGTTACATTGAACTCTGGCCAACTACAACATGTAAACAGCTCTGAAAATAAAAAGTTGAATACTGTGAAGAGAAGTACAGATATAATTATTTCTGAAAATACAAAGAAAATTGACTTACCAATTAATCAGACAAATAGGGATTTGGATGAGGAGTCAACAACACAAAACTTCCTCAATATGGCTAAGCAAGGTGATTTATCACCTAGGCACATTGAGTGGGTGAAATCTGCAGCTAAAGGAAAGAAAAAACAAGCAAAAGAAACCTTCACAGTTCCAGCAGGAGGTATACAAACTAGAATAACACTTTCTAAATCCAAAGATCAATGATGAAGGCAATTATATGGAATGTGAGGTCTGTTAATACAATGCAGGCATTTGAAAGATTGATCACAATGCATAGACAACATCACTTTGAATTTATAGGGATTCTTGAACCTATGCAACAGTCTAACAAGATGGAAAACTACAGAAGACGGATAGGCTTGGCCCAAGCAGTAGTGAATGTCTCAAACAAAATTTGGGCTTTCATTGATGAAGTTTTTGATGTGGATATTTTGTATAACATGACACAGCAGATTACACTGAGATTATTCCATATAGAAACACATGTCGAGCTCACTCTCATATTGGTATGTGCAAAATGTGATATTATTGAAAGAATAGAATTGTGGGATTCACTCTATGCAATGGCTTCTGACATGATAGTACCATGGCTTGTGGGAGGTGATTTTAATGTAATTTGGGACGAGGAGGAGAAATTTGGTGCATTATCTGTATCATTAAATGAGGTTGATGATTTTAGGCATTGCATCAATACCTGCAATTTGACTGATTTGGGCTTCAAAGGGAGCATTTACACATGGTGGAATGGTAGATCAGAGGAAGACTGTAATTTCAAGCGACTGGATAGATGTCTTGGTAACATAGAATTTCAACAGACTTTCCCGGGTTTGGAGGTGTCACATTTGTCTAAAATTGGATCTGACCATTGTCCTATGCTATTAAAATGTGATACTGCGTCTCTCACTATCAAGAAATCATTCAGATTTCTTAACTTTTGGGTACAACAAGCATCATTCAAAGATTTGGTAAAGGAAAATTGGAAGGCTGACTTTGCTGCTAATCCTTTTGTGACCTTTAATCATAAATTAAAGAAACTTAAGAAAGCCTTGTCTACTTGGAGTAAAGCTACTTATGGAGATATTTTTCAGAAAATTGCTAGCCTAGAAGAAGTGGTCCTAGTTCATGAAAGACAATTTGAGCTTTCCCCTACTCAAATGAACAGACAAAGGTTGCGTAAGGTTCAAGCTGAAATGATAAAATACTTGGCATTGGAAGAACAATTTTGGAGACAAAAGGCCGGAATGACTTGGTTTAAGGATGGTGATCGAAACACAAGATTTTTTCATGCGCAAGTTAATGGAAGAAGGAAAAGGTTAAAACTCACCAGAATTCAAGACATTCTTGGAAATTGGGTGGAAGAGGATGATCAGATTGCAGCAGAAGCAGTAAAATTCTACCAGGAGCAATTCAGGGAAGATACAATTCCAACAACTTTTCACATAATTGATCATATCCCATCCATGGTAACTATGGAGCAGAATGAGAAGCTAAACAACAATCCCACTCGAGAGGAAATCAAGCATGCAGTTTTTGGGTTGAATGGAGATTCAGCAGGAGTGCCAGATGGTTTTACTGGACTATTCTACCAATCTTGCTGGGAGATTATAGGTGAAGACATTGTGCAGATGGTATTATCCTTCTTCTGTGGATAGCAACTTCCCAAAAGTGTGACCCACACAAATTTAGTCCTGTTACCAAAAAAGAAAGAAGTCAATACCTTTTCAGACTTACGCCCGATAAGTCTTAGCAATTTCGTCAACAAGATCTTTTCAAGAGTAGTTCATGATAGAATGGTGGGCATATTACCAGGCTTAATATCAGAGGAGCAAGCAGGGTTTGTGAAGGATAGAAGCATAATGGAAAATATTTTGTTAACTCAGGAGATAGTCACAGATATGAGGCTCAGAACTAAAGCTGGTCCTAATGTTGTGATCAAACTCGATTTGATGAAAGCATATGATAGGTTGTCATGGTTATTTCTTACTAAAGTGCTGAGGAAAATGGGATTCTCTGAAAGGTTTATTAGATTGGTATTTGATTTGGTTGGAAATAATTGGTATTCAGTTCTAATAAATGGACAACCACATGATTTTTTCAAATTATCGAGGGGAGTAAAGCAAGGGGATCCATTGTCTCCGATACTTTTATTCTGGCTGCTGAAGCTTTGTCAAGGGGATTGAATTCTCTACATACAAACCTGTACTTTTGTGGCTTTGGAATGCCTAAATGGAGCCCAAAAATCAATCATCTTACAAACGCAGATGACACCATAATCTTCAGTTCTTCTGATGCAACTTCTCTTCGACTCATCATGGAGATCCTACAAGTATATGAAAATGCATCAGGCTAGCTGGTTAATAAAGGTAAATCTGTTGTATATATTCATCACTTGGTAGATCAAGAAGTAGTAAGGAATGTAGAGAGGACTACTGGAATTGGTAGGCAGGACTCCCCTTCACCTATCTGGGATGCCCAATTTTCTATGCTATGAGGAAGATGGAATACTATTAAGGATTGCTGACCAAAGTCCTTGACAAATTGCAAAGCTGGAAAGGTAAACTTCTATCCATTCGGGGTAGAGCAGTCTTAATAACTAATGTCTTACAGAGCATGCCCATTCACTTGTTATCCGCTGTCAATCCTCCTAACTATGTTATTAAAAGGCTTCATAAGATGTTTGCACAATTCTTTTGGAGTAGTTCTGTGGGTGGTACTAGTAGGCACTGGGCTTCTTGGACCAATCTGTGTATGCCATATGAAGAAGGAGGCATTGTATTTAGATCTCTACATGACGTAGCTAAGGCACTTTTCTGCAAGCTTTGGTGGATTTTCAGGACTAAACCAAGCCTTTGGAGTTCCTTTATGAGCCAGAAATATTGTAAAAAAATGAATTCTGTGGTAGTGCCGTGGAAGGGAGGTTCTCATGTCTGGAGAAAAATGATGGAATGTAGAGAATTAATTGAACATCAAATTTTTTGGCAACCTAGAATGGGCTCATCATTATTCTGGTATGACAATTGGACAGGGCTGGGTGCTTTATACTTTCTTGTTCCTGCAGATTTTGCGATTAATGATAACATACACAATGTTAGTGATGTGGGCGAGGATGGTCGATGGAATGTGGAAAGGCTATTGGAGGTCTTACCAGAGGAGTTTGCAACACATATAATTGAGAGAGTTAAGCCTCCAGTTATATCTAATGATTTAGATGTTCCTTTTTGGATGCTAGAAACAAAGGGTAATTTCACTGTAAAGTCAGCATGGGATTATTTAAGGAGGAGAGAGGATCCTAGAAGAGCATATTGTTTGATTTGGGTAAAAGGTATGCTTTTTAAAATTGCTTTCTTTATGTGGAAAATATGGAGAGCAAAGCTGCCTCTTGATGACTTCATGCGTAGATTAGGCTATTCAATGGCATCTAAGTGTTGGTGTTGTGCAGAACCAAATGAAGAAACATTAACACACCTATTCTATACAGCAAATGCAGCAAGGACAGTATGGAATTTTTTTCTAAACAGGACAGGAATAGCAATAGAGGGACTGAGTTTGCATCAGGCAATAACAAAGTGCTGGACATCACCTGTACTACCAAGAATTAAACCAATACTACAAGCCCTACCTTCGTGTATCTGTTGGGAAATATGGAAAAGGAGAAATAGCTTAAAACATGGTGAAGTTGTATTTGTTAGTCGGGTTATTTATCAGGTGTCCAACACATTACAATCACTGATAAAACTAAGAAAACCAGGACTGCATGTTCCTCATAAATTGCAGGACATGTTATTGGTGCTTGAGAATTATACTCCTAAGCTGAAATTTGAGAAAGTGCTTTGGGAGTTTCAATTGGAATGTTGGATTAAAGCTAATACTGATGCTGCATCTAGAGGCAATCCGGGAAGAAGTTCGATTGGGGTGTGCTTGAGAGATGAATATGGTGATGTTCAGTATGCTGCAGGTAGGGAAATTAATGAGGGCTCAAACAATGAAGATGAAGCTGAAGCAATGGTGGAGGCATTGAGAATATGCAGGTTATTGAATTACTCTAACATATGGCTACAAACTGACTCGTTGTTACTGAAAAATATAATAGATGGCATATGGAAACATCTATGGAACATTGTGGAACAAGTGGAGGAAATAAGGAGAATGAAGGAGAGATGCAACCAAAGAATATCACAAGTTTTCAGAGAAGGGAACAAGCTGGCAGATCACCTAGCAAACTATGCATTGGATTTTGGTCCTATTGAAGCATATCATTTTAGAGATCTGGACAATCAAAGCAGGAAGATAGTAAATGAAGATAAATCACAATGCCCTTATATCAGAGTGAAGGTTTCAAGGAGCTAAAGGATGCAACAAAGGGGATCAGTGCTATTACCAAACTCAGATCACAGAATATACTATTATTGGTAGACAAAGAAGGAGTTCTGGTGTTTCTTGCTGCGAAGGCTCGATTTATTAAAGACACTGAGGAATCTGCAGAATTTCAGAATTTTATAATTGGTGTTGAGATGCTTATTGCCGATGCCGGCCAAACAAGAAGATATTTGTCTAGTCTCTCTTCTTCTGCTAGCAGTACTTCCGAAAATGCTGGGATTGGTTGTCAAACTGGAAAGATGTATATGATAATGCCTTACCTTACTGAAGAACTACATATAGTAGTATCAATGCTATGAATTCAATCAACTAGAAGGACACTAAAAGGTAACATTGGCATATCAAGGAGAAAAATCAAGTTACAGGCAGCCAAAGATTTTGGAGAATTAACTCAACTTAACGTGCAACAAAACACAAGAAGTTATGAAGTGGTAATACTGCTCGATGTTCAACTGCACATGGATGTCGACACAGATTTTGATACTGTATATGCACTTTTGTCAAGTTCAAGAATAAAGATTGGGAACATAATTCTTAAAAGATGGGCTGGTCATCACACCTACTTGAAATATGAGACAGTGTGCTTCTTAAGTATGCAAGGCTGGTTCACATGGGGGAGAGCACATGAATCAATGGATGAAAGAAACAACTTTTTTGGCTCTAAAAATGGGCTGAATAATTTCTGCTTTCATGAGGCCCGAGGAGCAAGCATGTTTCAATTGGAGATGGCGATATTTAGAAACGAAAACTGGGAATCTCTATGGAATGGCTCAGTCTCATATGCAACTTCACACAGGCCTCACGTGATATCCAAGACAACTGGACAAAAGATAGTTAAATGTCTGATAACGTTCAGTTGGCCAGAGGAATGTTTGCATTACTTTTGGTTAAAAGCTTTGGTTTGCTCTAAGGCACGCCTTTTTCGTACGGAAACTAACAACATTGGACCCCTTTGGGAGGAGGAAATAATGCCTTTAAATAAACAAGCGTGCATGCCATTAATAGGGAGCATGTCCCACAGTGATATCTGGACCATTGGGATTTTAGATGAGAGCACTGGAGAGATTAATTTGGTCAAAAGAATGGGGCAAAGTTTGGGCATATCAGCAGAAGACATGTGCATGGGACACAATACAACATACACGACCCAATTTTTTGAGACTTTCAAGAATGCTTTTGGCTGCAAATATCTTTCTTCACACATGATATCTGGAAATAATAGAAGAAAAAAGTCTACTATTTGTGTGGGCAGCTGTAATGAACATGCACAATGCAGGAATGCTAATGCAATAGTATCTCTTAATGCAAAAAACTATTGTGGAATCGAGATAGATTTGAGGGAGGTTTGGAGCAGCTATGCGTTTGACAAAGCAAGGAAGGGGAAGATGGAAGCAAAGAACAAGGAATGGGTAGTTGAGAGGGAGTTGGGTAATACTAACAGTCAATATCATCGAATCTGTAAAGAAGAGAGGGTACTGACAGATGTTTTCACTAACCATGTTTTCTTTTTTGCAGGAAATGTTAATATACTCATGCCTTGTCTCCTAATACGACTTCATTGGGTGGTATTAGCACTACGTGCTCAATCCCGTGAGGAAGGAAAAGAGACAAGCACAAGCATGAGAGGTTTGAGTAGGATTCCATTGCAAAACTGGACAATCAGCAAATTTATGGCCAAAATATCATGTGGATGAATCATTTGAAAATGCAGGAATTTGTATGTTGTGTGATTGATTGTTATACAATAGTATGTAGGAGTGAGACAATACAAGAAAAGAAAGGCAAAAACAACACACTCATACAGGCAGCTTTGGGCACGAGAGGCAGGTTTTGGCAAGGATTTCTGAGTAATTGGGATGTGTTGTGGAACTTCCCCCTGAAGCAGATTTCAACTACAACAATACAATTAACAAACTATACAAGGAGGCCAGCTGGGAACATGTGGTACAATCACAAAAAAGAGGTCCAAATTTATACAATGGAGCAGGTCATATGGCAAGGTTATCTGCAACATTCGGGTAATTATCGACCATAATGGGCTGACATATTAACGCCGCAAGGTAGAAAGAGAAAGCAGGATGAAGAACATGTAAGGATATCACCAGAAATCTGTTCAATAATGAACAAAATGCAAGGGATAAACAATGATCGAAGGCACGAGGGTCTTGAACGTGATAAGTTCTGGACAGTGGCTACTGGGTGCAATCAACTGAAGATGCATATCTGGACCTGTTTTAGGTTTTATTACCTAGGACTAGTTCTTAGTTTCAATTATTATTTTAGATCATATGTGATATCAATGTTGAACTTACTCGATATTGATAATAGGTGCTATGTACGCGTCAAATTTTATTTCTTTCATACAGTTAGACCACCTGACACTCAGTTTGTTTTTTGACAAACCTTAATAGGATTAGTACAGTAAGGTTAGCCCGGTTTGTATTATATGGGTAACAATACCGGTGCTATTGTCCCCCTTATTTGTACTTTGCCTAATTGATGTATTTTCTTTTCTGTTATTAATAAAAAAACTAGCCCTAGGCACTTGCCTAGTGGATTGCCAAAAAAAAACAACACAGGATCTCTCGGGATACCGTCCTGTAGTCCCAAACGTAAAAGTGCAAGGGGATCTCCCGGAATACCGTTACATAGTCCCAAAGTAAATATGCAATTCTGTGGGATCTCCTGGAATACCGTTCCATAGTCCCAAAGTAAATATGTAGTACACGGGGATCTCCCAGAATACCTTTATGTACTACCAAAGTAAATATGCAGCTCAACCAATAAATAACAATCATAGCAAGCAAACCTACAGTTTAGTTTAGGTTCCAAACAAAGAAAGCAGGAAATTTCACTAAACATGTTGCACGGAGTTCAAATAGGCAGTTAAAACACGTAGGCATGCTTTTCTAATCTAAACAAGATAGTACATATGCTAGTGTAGTTCAAACATGGAGAATACAAGTTATGACT